TATTTGTTGGTATAACATGAGTTATACGCATTCTTAAGAGGGAATGAGTTTCACACGTCAGATGGCAGATCTGTTTACCTACGTGCCTCTCTGCCAGTTCTAATGAGCTTAACGCATTAAGATCCTCACCTCCACCTGATCATGCGTGTGTGTATCTATTTCTCCTCCTGTTGACTCAATCTGGTGTTTCCCGATAGGGATCTGACGTGTCCGTCGTGGCCCTTATAAAGAGGTCCACTCGAGTGTCCATGCATTGATCACGTCAGTCAGCCGTGCTTGAAGACTTCTCATCTCCACCTGAGAGTACATGGAGCCCATCAGCCACGGCGTGAGCGTCCCAGACTCGGGTTACCCCCGCAGGCCGATGCGTGCGGTCCCGAGAGGAGCCTCATCTCATTTTGTCGGGAGCACCATTGTGATTCTGTCCTCGTACGCCGTGGCGACGTTGGCCATGAACTGCGGCAAAAAGATCCTGGAGGAGCGACTGAAACCGTCTGAAAACTGATGCCGAGTGCCTCATCAAGAGCTGCTGTTATTTGATACGGACGTGCGGCTCGGAGAGACTTTCTTCAATAAAACCATGTGCAAAACGTTCCAGTCCTCAAGGACTCGGGTTGATAAATCTGGAACTTTGTCGTGAAGCTTTTCTCTACGATTCTGCTGAACCACGAGGCCATGAACAGAGAAACAGACAATTATATCTGCATCGGCTGTCGTATAAGTCCACGAGAGGACAAAACTCTGAAACAAATGAACCAAAATGAGGCCTATGGGACCAGATTTCACAGGCGTTTTTACTGAAATGTTTTTCATTGTTTGAATTTAAAGATAAAGCCACTTGTTATCACTTGTTTGTATTTGTTTCATTCCAATAGTGAAGCAGAGAGATACATTGACAGTTTTGTAAAAAATCAAGTGTGATTTGTTCTATGTACAGAATTCATTAAAATGTTTTAATACATTGTGTTAAAAGAGTTTGTTGGACCTTGCTTTATTGGTAATGCACTCCCGAGAGCAGATTATGTTATTCAACATGAATAGCAGATCAACCTTCACATATGCAAACATTATATAGTGTGCAGAAGTCATCAGTGAATATGGTAATGTAATAAGCATGATTCATTTCCACTCTATATTTTTTCACCAGTGCAGATTCCAGATTGGTATCTAACTATAACCATAAAGTTTTAATAATCATTATAGTTCCAGGTCCACGAGAATAGTGAAGTCCACACACCATGCATTTATAGCGGCTGACAGACTTTGCTAAGCCTCTCCTTATAAAGACAAGTGACTTGTTTAGTTTGGGGTTTTATTACACACAGAGACAGTTTTCACCACTAGATTGAGCGCTTCTGTTCGGCTGAATGTCAATCCTGCCAGCAGAAAACAACAGGCAGTTTTACATTAACCAGATGAAGTGAAACACTATGCAATGCAGAAACAATCGTTTGAAATGAAGGAACGTCTGAGCCTTCGAGTCAGAGACACTTTGTTGGGGGGAGCTTCGAGGATAAGCTTTTTTAATGGATTTCAGGGGTGGAGAGTTATAAGCTAAATGAACTACTTTTGTGAGGAAATTGCTTATTTCTTAATGAATTGACAGTTTGTCTGCTAATATTATTATTTTTTGGCATTAAATATTTACTTTTAAGTAATTTTATTTGGAGTTTATGTAACGTAGGCTAGTAAGAGTTGGTCAAGAAGGACTTGGTGCCGTGACCCGGATGGGAGTGTGGTTTAGGGGGGGTGAGTGTAACGTAGGCCACTAAGAGCTGTGCGTGTAAAGCTCACTCCCCTGATCTCAAGAGGCGAGCAAGCGGCTGATGCTTGCGGCTGTGGACTTTAGCGTCCTTGTTAGCACGCTTGTCTCCCACGTTGGAGACCCCGGTTCGAATCCTGATCGGAGCGGTTGGAGAAGGACTGGTTACATTTGGTGCCGTGACCCGGATGGGAGTGAGGTATAGGGGGAGTGTAACAGGCCAGTAAGAGCTGTGGGTGTAAAGCTCACTCCCCTGATCTCAAGAGGTGCGCTAGTGGCTGTGGTCTTTAGCGTCCTTGTTAGCACGCTTGACTCCCACGACTCCCCAGTTCGAGTCCTGCTCAGAGCGGGTCGAGAAGGACTGGTTACGTCTGGTGCCGTGACCCGGATGAGAGTTAGTTTTAGGGGGGAGTATAACATAGTCCAGTAAGAGCTGTGCTTGTAAACCTCACTCCCTTGGTCTCACAAGGCGCTCTAGCCACTGATGCTAGTGGGTGCAGTCTTTAGTCCTTGTTAGCACCCGCATCCCATGCCGGAGACTCCGGTTCGAATCCTGATCGGAGCGGTTGGAGTAGAACCGGTTACATTTGGTGGCATGACCCGGATGGGAGTGAGGTTTAGGGGGGTGAGTGTAACTGCCGTAGGCCAGTGAGAGCTGTGCGTGTAAACCTCACTCTCCTGATCTCAAGAAGCGCTTTAGCGACTGACACTAGAGGCTGTGGTCTTTAGCTTCCTTGTTAGTGCCCCTGCTTCCCACGCCGGAGACCCTGGTTCGAATCCTGCTCGGACCAGGTCGAGTAGGACCGGTTACATATGGTGCCGTGACCCGGATGGGAGTGATGTTTAGAGGGGTGAGTGTAACGTAGGCCAGTAAAAGCTGTGCGTGTATTAAACGTGTAAATAAAATAAAAATAAAACGTGTCTTATTCAATTCCACTATATAATAATAACATCTCTACTTTGAGTAGATTTTCTCATTGTAGGTCTATTAGTTAACAAAACCACACAGTTTAAACTTTTTTGTTGAGTGGAATACATTTTCCTTAAAGAAGTACCATAGTGGTGATGACGGTATCAGATGGTAACCATTGTACTTTAATATATACCGTGATACAGAATGATTCCCATATCCATATGCCATTTATGTATTCACAGAGTACGTTAAGGTATTTCCAAGAATCCCCTACAAAATTGATATATGTTTGATATTGAAACGTCAAATTGTGGGCAATACATGTAGCTAGGCTATCTGAGGTGTTTTAGGCAAGATGTAATGGTCTCTGTAAAAACTGCGTCCAATTCACCCTTCGCCAAGAGTTTGACTGACAGGTGATGTGACCAATCATAACGCCGAAACCACCATTTTTCTGACAAAAGACCAGACAGGAGAATGTCGATGAACTTTAACTTGAAAAATGGTGTGAATTGATTGATGTCTTGCCATGGTCAAAACAACGTACCTTCTGATGTTCATTCATGTTTATTGGTGCTATAACTAGTAGTAAAGAGGAAGAGATGATCGGTTAACGTGCCGCTTGAACTGAGGCGTTAGTACAACGATCTGTCGACACATTAAAGAGCCAAAAAACGATTTGAATTTCTTAAAAAATGTAAAAATTGTAAAAGCTAAGACTGTCTCATATCAACAGTCACATGCTCTGTCTCGTCTGTTGGCGCGTTGTCAGTGTCAGTTATTTTTTACCATGGCTTGTCGGACGTAGCAACAGTAACTAAGGGGGGCGGGTCATTTGGTCCGAACGAGTGAAACCAGCTCTGATGCAGTGCAATTAGCGGCGGTCCTCTGGTCATAATATGGGTGACCTCTCCAGGAACACAACAACGGCTCATCCATGAATAGCTTTGACACAAAGGATTATTATTCCAGCTCAGATGACCAAAGGCTAATAGCTTCTGTCTGCTGTCCTAAGCCCCAAAATAAAACACTTGAGCGAGCGTCGAGAGACCTCCGGCCCTTGCTCACGAAACTGTCTATCATTATGAATCACTCTGACAGGCCTTAACTACATGACATGAGGGAAAACATACAAGCCATCTAAAACAACTTACGACGGTAACCCCCCGTTCAAAGAAGCCAGAGTGTTTCAGACTGAATCCTCTACAGCTCTGTAACTAGGGCACAGTGTTTTCGTTTGGGGCCAAAAACATCTTAAAGCGGCGCACGGAGGTGGGATTATTCCAGAAGGAAGATTAGAGAAGGAATAACCAGCAAAACAAGCCTTCGGTGCCTGTGCCTGCTGAGAGAAATTATCATCTCTAATGTGAAGACCATCATTATAGCATCTGTTTACTGCAAATGGCTTCTTTTGGTATCATATATAGCAAACATATCAGTCTAGCAGATTAAATAGCTTATATTTGACCCTTTTGAGACACTTTTAGATACGCATTATGCATTTGTGTTATTTTAGTATCATTGAGATGTTATGAGGCTATAGTTTTTTGGTAACACTATACAATACGGTTCATTAGTTTAACATTAATATCAATTTCAACATTTACTAATACATCATTAAAATCAATGGTTGTATTTGTTAACATTAGCTAATGTGTTCGTTTAATTAGTCTGTGCGTTATGTTAAACTTTACGTACTTCAGCAGTTTACTCGTAGTTTATTGCAGAAGTTTAGATCAACCAATGAGACTTTACCATGTGAGAAACAGCATATAATACGTTCATGTTGACATAGACGTGCTTGAAACGGAACAAGAAGCTTAGGTGTCCCAATTCACTAACGTCCCAGATTATCCTAATTCACCCTGGATTCACCTCATGTCAAATACCGAGACAGGTTTTTGGGAAAACAAACCAGCAGAATACGCAGGCGACATGTGCAGGTGACTCAGTGGCACATGATGAGATGCAATTAGAAACAAGGTCACGTGAAATAAAGCCACATTACCTGTTGTTGTTGTTATTATTATTATTATTATTATTAGAATGTATGATCAAAGTGTTTTTGTTTATATCTATGTCTATTTATAGTCGTATTGCTTTTATTATTTTTCTTTGATAACTGCACTCACTAAGAACAAACTAATGGCAAATGCGTGTGTTTGCGCGCGCGCGCGCGTGTGTGTGTGTGTGAGAGAGAGAGAGAGAGAGAGAGAGAGAGAGAGAGAGAGAGAGAGAGAGAGAGAGAGAGAGAGAGAGAGAGAGAGAGAGAGAGAGAGAGAGAGAGAGAGAGAGAGAGAGAGAGAGAGAGAGAGAGAGAGGGAGGGAGGGGCGTTGTCATCGAGATGTCCTTCGACTACAGCTCGGGGAAAAGAGTGAGAGAGCAGATCAAACCGGAGAGCATCAGAACAGCCACTGGACGCAGCAATATCAGGTATGACGGAGTTTTATGAACATATTAACTATCAGTTTGTGTTTTAGGAGATTTGAACTCTGCCGTGAGATGTTTACTGTGTGCAGTTGAGCAGATCAGTCTGTGCAACTCTTCATCCTCTTATCCAGGACTGTGTGACACAGTTAAAGGACATTAATATGAACAGCACAATTAATCATGATGCTGTTGTATTTTATGATTTATTTACCTCTTAAGATGAGCTGTGAAAACTTTGGGTTGAATTGAACCTGTTCGTTGCTCTGATAGGCTAGTGATTAAAACTAAAAGTTGTTTTAAGATTTAATCTATAAATAATCTCTAGTTTATAAATAAACTAAATGTGTATTTTGTAATTTAGAATTATATATTTTTATTTTTATTGTTTTATTTGGGAATTTATGTTTTGTTTTATTATTTTAGTTCAGTTTTTATTTGGGAATTTATATATTTATTTTATTTTAGTTACATTATTTAATAAAAAAAATGTTTATTTGGAAATATATGTTGTAGGCTATGTTTTAATGTATTATTTTATTTCAGTTTTTAATTGGGGATATATATTTATTTTATTTTAGTTATATTACTTTATTATTTTTATTTATATTTATATAGCTATAAGTATTTATTTTTTTTGCTTGGGAATATATATACATATATATTATTTTGTTACATCATTTTATTTTATTTGGGAATGTATATTTTATTATTTGATTCTAGTTTTTATTTGTGAATATCTATTTATTTTATACCAGTTACATTATTATAATCTTAAAGGGAGCACAACAAGACTCCTCTAAGAATCAAATAAGATCCTGTAAACATATTCTTACCTTTTAGATTATATTTTCAGAATTTCAATATATCCAGGATAGTTCATCCCAAATTTTGACGTTTTTTTCCTCTTACATTGGTTGAGGATTTCATACAGATAAAAAATAAACAGATCAAATTACCTGTGTTTAAGAGCTGATCTGTTTATATGAACACTTTCATTAATAAGTCATCCTGAAGCATTATATAATTTGTCACAGAATATGAATAAATGAATGCAAATGTTTCATGTTGTGAAGCAGCATCATAATGTAAGTTGATGAAAATCATTATAAAGTGTTTCCCATCCCAGATTATTTCTTACAGTTGAAAGACAAACGCTGGTGAAAATGGGCGTGTCCAGAGTTCTGCTCGGCCTCGCCTGCCTCGATCTATTGGCTGCTGCTGTGATGAGTCACGAGGGGGCGTGTCTTCAGGACGGGAGACACAAAGCCACGCCCAGTCCTGAGCCCCGTCTGAAAGACTGCTCGCTCTACACAGAGAGTGTGTGCACACACACTTTATAGTCCTCTCACAATCACAATCACACCGCTGATTCAAAACTGGTCAAGATCAGTTCATTAAAAACTTCAGATTCATTTGACTTTCCAGTTGGGACCGTATTGTTTGTAGTTTGTCCCAGGTTGTTAATGTTTGTTTGTGTGTCTTTTCAGATTCATGTTGTTCTGAGACGGATGTCCAGGATCTCTCCGGCTCCGTGGACAACTCTCTCTGGGACAAGTGTGGTCTTCTCAGCCCTCTGTAAGATTATATTCATTCCCTAAATATATATGATTCATATTTACACTGTAAAATCTGGAAATTGATTGATTCAATCAGATTGTTAACTGCTTTTAGCAGGTGATAATAGCTTTGCCTCATATTTGCATTCAATAAAATATTTTTTTTTTTAGTTTTAGTGTGATGGAGGATGCACAATATGTAATCAAGATTTAATAATAATTAAAACATTTGGCAGAATTTTTTTTTCTCAATTCTCATGTTGAAATATGTCCTATTAAAACAGAAGTTGTGATTGAACATGTTACAGGGTTTGTCCTTTTCTAGACTCTAGATGGCAGTAGGTGTTTGTATGATTGTTTGGTTTATATATTTACTGTAGTTACTAGTTAGTTAATTAGTTATTTTTATTTGTTTAATTATTTAAATTATTGTTTGTTTATTTATATATTTAGTTAGTTATTTTTAATCCAGGTTTGTTTGTTTATAATTCATGTTTATATATATATATATTTTTTTAATTTATTTATTTATATATTTATTTTAGATCCAGGTTTGTTTGTTTATAATTCATGTTTATATATTTTCAATTTGTTCTAATTTATTTATTTATTTATATATTTATTTTAGATCCAGGTTTGTTTGTGTATAATTCAGGTTTATTTATTTATAATTCATTTTTATCTATTTATTTATTTTTTCGCTTATGTACGGGTGTTGTTTTTGTGCATGTGAAGTTTTGTGTAAATGCTCATTATTGTTTTACTTTATGTGTTTGTGAAGTACCATCTCTTTTTCTTCAACTAAAACAGACTATATATATATATATAACAGTCTCTCTCTCTCTGTCTCTGTCTGTAGCTGCGAGTCCTTCCTGAAGCGCGTGGTGTGTTTTTATCGCTGCTCTCCTGACGCTGCTCGCTGGCCACACCCACGTCATGACTCCTCCCTGAAGGCGGTGCCTCTGTGCCACAGCTTCTGCAGAGACTGGTGAGGCCCTGCCCACTCATGCTCACAAACACACACTGTCTTCAGGTCCTTATGTGATGAGCTGTTGGTAATATGATGACCAGAGATGTCACTGTTGCAGGTACGAGGCCTGTAAACTGGACCTGACGTGTGCTCGAGACTGGGCCACCGACCCAAGAGGACAGAACTGCACCGGCGGCTGTGTGTCTTACCAACAGGTAACATCATACCAAACATTATACATCAAACTCACTACTAGATCTGTACATTTATGAAGAAAATGTGATATTTGTCTGGGCAAAACTCATTGCTGTGGTGTTGTAGGTGGTTGCCAGGGGGTTGCTATGCAATTGCTAAGGTTTTTAAAATGTTTTTAGTGTGTTTCTAAAGTGTTGTTAGTGGTTTTTGGCACATCGGTGTATGTTTGAGGTGGTTGCCAGGGTGTTGCTATGCAGTTGCTAAGGTTTGTTTATATTTTTAGTGTGTTGCTAAAGTGTTTTTAGTGGGTTTTGACACATTGATGTGTGTTTTGGGTGGCCGACAGGGTGTTGCAATGCAATTGCTAAAGATTTTAAAATGTTTTCAGTGTGTTGCTAAAGAGTTTTTGGTGGGTTTTGGCTCATTGCTTGCAATGTGTTCCTATGGCATTGTGGGAGGTTGCCAGGGTATTTCTTTGCAGTTACTAAGGTGGTCTATTTTGCTAGGAGGTTGTGAATGTTAAGGTGTTCTGAGTAGGTTTTGTCACATTGCTATGTACTGTATCGCTATGGTGTTGTGGGTGGTTGCCAGGGTGTTGCTATGTAGATTTTTATAATGTTGGTAATGTGTTGCTAAGTGGTTGATGTGTTAAACTTTGGCACATTGCTATGTGTTCCTAGGGTGTTGTGGGTGTTTGCAAGGTTGTTGCTATGCAGTTGTTAAGGAGTTGATAATGTGTTCTAAAGAAGTTTTGCACATTAACATAAGTTGTGGTTGGTTGCCAGGGTGTTGCTATGCAGATGCAAAATTTTAGCTGTGTTTCTTAGTGGTTGCCATGGTGTTACAATGACTTTTTAATATTTTTATTGTGTCCCTAAGTTGTTGCTAAAGTGTTTTGAGGACATTTGAAACATTGCTGTATTGCTATGATGTTGTACGTGATTGCCACGTTGTACGATGTTGCTATGCAGTTGCTAAGGTCTTCTGAATAATTTTTTAGTATGTTGTTAAGTGGTTGCTAAGGTGCTCTGGATAGATTTAGCACATTGCTATGTATTGCTATGGCATTATTGGTGGTTGCCAGGGTGTTGTTGCTAAGTTTTTATGTTATAGTCTGTTGCTAGGAGGTTGTTAAGGTGTTCTGAGGATGTTTGACACATGCTGTATTGGCACGATATTGGTATATGCAGTTGTTAAGAAGTTCTGAAGAGTTTTTTATATGTTGCTATGTGGTTGTTTAGGTGTTCTGTTACTAGGGTGTTCTGAGTAGTTGCCAGGGTTTTGCTGTGTGGTTGGGAAGGAATCATTAATATCTGGAGCTTTTGTGTTGAGCTTTAATTACACAGAGGGATAGTTTTAATCTAATCTCCAAATTAGGACTCAACAGAGCAAGAGAAATAAGGTTTGTTCACATCACTAGCCGCGTTTCCATTACCCTTCAAATTGCACAAATTAAAATTGCGAATTGAAAATAATCCCAATGGAAACACGTCAATTTCACAAAAACTCCCATATATCGCAAAAAAAGTGTTTATGCTTGCATGAGGTGGTTTTTCAGGCGATTCGAAAAAGGAATATTTCGCAAAACTGCAATGGAAACAGTTTTTACACAATTGCAGGTCACCTGACGTAGATGGAGTGGTTTGTTTGGACAGAAGAGGTTCTTTATTAAAATTATAAAAGACAAAAGTATTACAGGATTCCTAGACTCTAAACAACAAGGAAATGCCACAATCAAGACCATTGAAGCAGAGATGAGGGAGAAATACCCAGAAACACCTAAACACCTCCCAGTATAACGGGCTTTCCTTGCCATTATTAATGATTGGATATCACGCCTGTGTCTCCTTCCATTAAAAATAATGGCTAGTGCGGTGGCTGGGATATATGTAAACCCATACCAACATCGGTTGCCATAATTATTGGAATGACTTATCGCGAGAGGAAAAAATTACGTTTCAGTCGCATAACTTCAGTTAATGGAAACGCCGTCATTTCGCAATAGTTTTTTATCGACATTTACAAAATGGCGCAAATCTGTAATGGAAATGCGGCTGCTGTCTGATACAAACATCACTACAGAGGTTTCCCACATAGCAATTTTTTTTCTGGCCCAGCTCCGGTCCACAAAGCCCCTTTTTACATGGCCCACATACTGCAAAGAATGACTGGAAGTAACTGGCCCGAGTCTCAGGCAATTACTAACCCATAACTGGTCCTGCACTGGGCATGAATATGTTTTAGTGTTGGTGCCTTAAGTAAACCAGAAATGGCTAATGACTATTAGCTACAGCTGCCAAACAAAAAACGTTATTTTACAGGTATTCCTTGAATGATTACTAACAAAAACATTCACTGTAAAATGAGAAACTCTTAAAGTTGACATGCATGAATTAACGTGACTATATGTCACTGCATCAGCAGCTACACAGTTACTGCCTCTTAAATAAAGCAACATGACATCAATGTTTTTTTGGCCCATCCTGGACTGAAGCACAGGCTCTACTCTTCAGCACAATGGTGACCCACAAAACTCAACAGAAACCCTTTAAATCCCAACTGACCATTAAACATTAACAGATCTCTCAGGATCTCAGCATCTTCGCTTATTACAATCCAGAATTTGTTATTTATTTCATACTAAAGGTCTTATTGAGAATTAAAAGAGGTTTATATGTTTTATTGGAAATAATAAACGTTTGTAGTCACAATTATGGTGATCAGTGTTTGCTTTAGTTGAGCCCTTGCCTTTTTAACATTAGTTTTCCTCTGGCTGCTGTAACTGTGTATCTCTGATACATGTTTGTTATAGCTAAAAAAAATGCAAGAGAAACTGTGTTCTGATGATGTTGGTCACTTTTTAGTGATGATGCAGTCATCGTTTAGTGGCCTGATTCACTGACACCAGAGTCTAATCTCTGATTAAATTGATTAATATTAGTTGTTAACTTCTCAAGCTGATATTACTGCAGAAATTCATGCAGTGCTGTGATACTCTGAAAGATTTTATTAAATCATTATGCAGAAAATGTTTTGACAGGATTATGTAGACTCACACAGACATCAATAATCAGAGTATGAATCTCAACAATATATATAAATATTCAGATCAACTCTGAACGTCACCAAACAAGCTACTAAAGTCAGAAAAAGCTTTGTTAATCGTCACCATTGTTGAGATTCGTATGTTGATTCTTTGTTTCTGTGCTCCTTAAAAACACAGGTCAAGGTTTCTGTATAATGACTTACTGATAATACTGATGCCACATTACCACAAGGCTACAGTAAACCATGTGAAATGTACTGTTAATGTGTTCAGAGATTTGACTTTAAGTGATATCTGGGAATCATGCCACTACATGATGACGACATCACCGATAAGTGTGGTCACCTTATCCTTATACATCATCTAATGAGATTTTCTCCAGCAATATTTTTGCCATAACAAATGTGTATCGGTGACACAAAGGGAGCAAAAGAAATACTAATGTAAAATATGCAATGGTCAAGAGCCCAACTAAAGCAAACACTAATCATCATAATGGTGACTTCAAACTCTTTTTTTTATTTTTTATTAGTCTTCGACACCTAAACCTCTCAATAAGAACTTTAGTATGAAAGAAATAAAGCTAGACTGGATTCTAATAAGTGAATATGCTGAGACCTTGAGAGATCTGTCAGTGTTTAATGTTCTGTTGCTGCCAGTCATTTGAATTAATTCAGGAAATGCTTTTAAAATAACAGTGTTTTTCTGTAAAACATTTAAGGAAATTTGCACTTTATTTAAACCAGAATATTTTACTTTAATTTTAAGGAGATACATATCCACAACAGGAATAAAATACGGGGTATTTTATGACAGCATATTAATAAAATAATGCCCCTTGATAAACAAAATTAATGAAATATTGCATGATTAGGGTTAAACAATCACAGAAATTTTAATCAATTCAATATTTTAAACTGTAGTATTGTTAAAAATTTACCTTTTAAATGCCAAGTCATAACAGATGAAACATTATCATTTCAAATGAAGCAAATTGTAAATTAGTCAAGTCAACTGCATTACAGTGCACTTAATCGGCTCAAGGTCTCAATCCTGATTTGGATCAGATGATCACTGGATTGATCTGGGACACACTCCTCCCACCAACAATCACCCTCATGTTGTTTGCCGTGATCATGCTTTGCCATCATTGCCACACATGAACCAGATCTGGCTGACAGGAGACATGCCATTGCCAGCATGAGGACACATTCGGGCCAAGATCACTTGCTATGTGGGTTGTTCACATCACCGTCAGAACTGGAGAGAGTATATGACTCCAGGCATGGACACAGCTGGAACGTCTTTGGAAAACACACACACACACACACACACACACACACACACACACACACACACACACACACACACACACACACACACAAACACACAAACACACAGTGAACGTGTCAGTTCATGTCACATTTCCTCACCACTGACATGCTGTACATGTGAAAAGAGAGAGAGAGAGAGAGAGAGAGAGAGAGAGAGAGAGAGAGAGAGAGAGAGAGAGAGAGAGAGAGAGAGAGAGAGAGAGAGAGAGAGAGAGAGAGAGAGAGAGAGAGAGAGAGAGAGAGAGATGTGAATCAGTGCAACCGGCCTCTCGTACAGTCAGTTTCAACGCTGAATGTGGTTAATATAATGTAATTTGTTGTTTCAACATTGAAAAAACATTGCAACAGTGTATGATGCTACATTTAATGGTTGTAAAAAGATTACAAAATATATATAAATTAACATTGAATTTTAACAACATGTGACAATATCAATGTTAATTTGATTCAAAAGATATTCAACTGTGATTCAACTTTGACACACTCATAAGTAAACAATGAATAATTTATTTGGTGAATGGAGTTATATCAATATAAAGCTAAGTGTTTGGCTGGTCATGTGACCCCAACATGATTTTTGATGTTAAACAGACTTTTCTGCCATTCACTTCTTTAGGGGTAAAATCAGTTTTATGAGGTTTAACAGTGAACAGGACTTGATTGAATCATGATGAATTGACTGGATGTGTCTCTATATGAAGGTGCTTGATAAATCAGAGAGATAAAGCCGGATGTCAGCCGGAAATGAAAGTCGTTTCGGAAGTGGAAGTGAAGTTATGGTTTTCATAAAAGATTGTTCTTTTTTCGCAGAATAGCATGCAGTGGTGAATCATTGCCAATAAGAGCAGGACCGTGAATTAAGACACTAAAACGAGTCATAGTTGATCCCATGTTGGTTTTAAGATCGCTGTGTTTCTGTGGAAATGCCGCTGGCAGTAAAAATGCATAATCAACACAATCATCATCACATGTGCATAACCATGAGTGACAGAGAAACACACACACACACACACACACACACTTCACATGTTCTTCTGAGGGGTGAAAATCACAGCCAATAATGAGATAGAGAAAGCAGAGGAGGTGTGTGTGTTTGTGTGTGTTTGTGTGTGTGTGTGTGTGTGTGTGTGTGTGTGTGTGTGTGTGTTCTACTTTGAGGAATCATTAAAGCTGATGTGCGAATTTAACAACGAACAATGTTAGCAGTGGATCTGAAATGGTTTATCATCATTACACATAATATTTTTGATACATGAATGGTAAGATCCCTCATAACTGCAGCTGTGCTCTTCACATTGCTTTAGTAATTTAATTTTTATTTCCCCAGTTGAATAATAGCAGTCTGAAGAACTGTTAAGGTTGATTTTGGTTGTAAGTTCTGCTGTTAATGTATATTTACTGCTAGTTTTTTATGTTTTAAAAATGCACAATACCAAGCAATTACACACTGCATTCTCAGCACTGCCACAAGGGGCCACTATTGCAGCGTCACTTTTCTCATTAGATCAAACCAAAGACTTTATATACAAAGACTATGCACTCATTGCACTCATGTTACTATGAAAGGGAGGAAGTGAAACACGCAATATGGCGGAAAAAGTCCCGCCTTCTCAATATAAGAGCTAGTCGCCAATTGGTAAAGTGATTGTGTCACAGCTTAAGATGCGCGCTTAGGACTGCACATGAAAAATAAGACCTTTTTAGTTCCTACCACTATTTGAGTGGTAAAAACCTTGCCTGATGCTTTAGAGAATCAGATGTTTCCCCATTCGAAGAAATAAGAGCTGCACTATGACTGAAAGCTGCTCGAGAGACATGTCAAAGATGGCCGCCGAGTGAAATTACTTGCCTTAAAGGTTCTCTAAGCGATGTCGGGTGACGTCATTCTTGTTGACGTTTAAAGTATTGTCAAACAAAACGGAGGCTAGCTAGACCCTCCCTCCTCCTCACCCACGCACTAACCCCCCAAACCCCGCCCCCAAGTCCTTCTTGTCGGTGATTGGCTGGAACTGTTTGTCATGTTTCGTGGAGCGGGTTAGCCCAGTTTGTTTTTGTTGCTGTTTGTGGAGCCTGGGCTGTCTACAGAGATCGCGTTTCTTTACAGTGTGTTCAGGGGACAGGCAGCCAGCGGTTAGTGAGGAGATGTTTGCTGTATGTGACAATTTTTTATTTTTTTTTTGTCTCTAACGCTCTTCGCGTGTCGGTCAAAAATGACAGAAATGTATTTTTTTATTTCAATGAAATGAATGTACTATATTTTAGTTCAATAATTATTTTTTTATGGTAATAAATTTTATTTATGCTATATTTATAATCCATTTATTCACTTTTTGAGCATAGACCTGAAAGTTCGATTTCCAACTTAAACTGTCGTAAACCTTGAATGCTTTAGAGCACAGACTAAAGTTTGATCTCTTTTCAAAGACGCCACATGGCAGATTATTGCTGAAGTGAAAAAAGTTACAGAATTTTACGTTTATTGTTATGAATAATTATACTATTTTCAATTTTTATATGAAATACATATTTTCAAAAATATGTTTTACTCTAAACCTGAGAAAATCAAAGCCACAAAACTAAACAAGTCTAGTTTTGAGGTTGAGATCTCAAAATAATTCGCTTTCAATCAGATTTTGTTTGGCCGCAGTACCAAATGCTTCCACTAGATGCAATTCGTTTGACCGCAAGGAGCACAACTGTGACTATTTTCCCCCCAGACCTTTAAACTTTTCGAAACATGTCCATGATTCTTTTTGTGTGTGTTCACACAGCAAGTGCCAAAACCTTTACCAAGTTTCGTACCATTCCAATGAAGTAAAAATAAATAAAAAACGTAAATTTTTCGATCAAAAAGGACCGAAGAGCAGCGGTGCTTTGATAGAAGAGTTATTTGTTTGCGTACTTGTGAGCATGTTCTGATCATCCATGTATCTGTGTTTGTTGATCAGATGTATCAGCACGGGCGAGACCTCTGCGAGAGTCTTTGGGGAGACGCCTTTATGACGGTTGAGGACGACCCCGGCGAAGAAGACGGTGTCGAAGGCCATAGCTGCGGCTGTCTGACTCTCAGCCCCTCAGATCGAGAGGTGATCGCGGCCCTCAGGGTTCAGGAAGGAGACCCCGAAGAACTGGACACCACCAAGAGCGGCCTGCCCCAGTACAGAGCGCCCTGCCCCCCCGCGCAGCCTCAGACACGCAGCGCCACAGCGCCACCACAGGCCCGGAGGAGCAACACCGTCCTGCGCAAACGCTCCGTTCTGGCCGCCGATATGGAAGGCAGTGGAAGCGGCTTCTAGAACATTTGTGTTCTAGATCTGCTGAATGTTTGTTATCAAGTGTTCTGTTTTATCTTATCCGTTGAATTTTAAAGGAAACAAATGCAGTGAGCTTTCTACCGTAATTCTATTGTCTATTTAACACAGTCGACAAAACAATCCTGGGTAGACTCAAACTAGTTCTGTAAATTGAAATTCTGCATATTTCGACCTATTAAAGGTGTATTGTGTAGTATTTAGGAGGATCTGTTGACAGAAATGCAATATCATATACATAACTATGTTTTCAGTGGTGTATAAAGACCTTACATAATGAACCGTTATGTTTTTATTACCTTAGATTGAGCCATTTCTATCTACACACACCGCGAGTCCACTTACATCGACATGTTTCTACGGTGGCCCTGAACGGACAAACACGTTTCGTCACTATGTTGTTCTTCGTGCAAAGATCTAGCTAAAGTCAGCGGATAAAACACTCACACAATGATGAACAAGTAACAATAATATTTGCAATAACATACCGTTTTACTGAACAATTAAGTAAACCTAATTTCTTAATTTATCTTTGTAAAGAAACCTCATTGCTTATCTGGCTACTCTCTGCTGTCTCAGACGACGACATCACTTCCTGTCGGCCACCGTAACTTCTGTTGGGTGCAATTCACAAACTCACCACTAGATGCCGCTAAATATTACACACTGCACCTTTAAAGTCAACATGACAAGTTGAATTTAGGTCTTAATCTCATTGAATATTTGGTAACACTTTACAATAAGGTTTCACTACATGAACGAATGATGAACAATACTTCTATGGCGTTTTTAATAATCATAGCCAATGTTAATCTCAGCATTTACTATGCATTTTTAAAGTCAAAGTTATGTCTGGTAACATTAGTTAAGGCTCTAACCCCAACATGGACAAACAATGAATAACTATGTTTATTAGCTAACATTAACAAAGATTAATAAATGCTGTATAAAATATATTGCTCATTATTAGTTAATGCATTAACTACTACCAATATTTGAGACCTTATTGTAAATTGTTTTCAAATATTCTTATTCACCTGGAAATATGACAAATTACATCAGGTTAAATGGGTTGCGAATCTTGTTTTATGTTGAGTTGAACTGTTTATTCAGTGTGTTTTTGTATTTGCCCACTGCATGAAACTACATAATTTACAAATATTATTATGGCATTTTTGTTGCAGTTTAGACTTTGTCTAAATGTTGCTATTGTCGCTTGTTTCTATAACTGATATTTCATGATAATCACGACATGGAAGTATGGATGTCTCATTTCATCTAACACCACATTATCATACATGCATATAGCCTAATCTTTACATTTCGCACAGTTATGTGTAATTTATGTCTGTGTAAATTACTTTATTAGTGAAAACGCAGATATGATTCAGCTGTCATTTACTCTAAGTATTTATACAGACGTATATAAAAAGGAAAGCTGTAAAGAAAAACTGTGAGAGCACTGTAAATTCTGTTTGACTGGTTATAAATGAGTGTACTAGTTGACTGTTTAACAGTGAACGTGAGGACATTGTGTCTGTATGTAAACGGATGGCCAGTGTGAGCAGTTTGATGTTTCAGTATTATGTGGCTGCCTTGAGTAAATGTGTTTCTCTTCTGATCTTATATGTCTTTTAATTCATAAATAAACTAAATTGGAATTTGTTCTTTAAACTGTTCTTTTTAAAGCAGTTTTAACCCTGTAATCCCGTCATTGTTATTATCCTGTTTAGTGTAAAGTATTGTTATCAATTAACCATGTGTGTATCTTGCCAAATTTATGCTACATTTAAATATTGAACTTAAACTTAAACAACGTGATTGGGCAATTCTTTCATGTCCTTTGATCATATTTTATAAAAAACATTTAATTTTGAAAAATTCACACTTTCATAGTTAACTTTACAATGAAAGTACTTTAGAAACTTTTTACCGGTAGTCTACGATGATTTTTTCACCTTTTTAAACATCATTATAGATGCAAATATTGCTGTTTTGTGCTTGTCCCACACCCAGACTTCTGATCTTCAATAATGAAAAAGAAGTGTAAACAAATTGTTTATCTATTTTTATTTCTAATTGTTTTATTTTTTTTATAGGACTGTATACAGTATCAGTAAAATAATCAAAACATAATTGTGGTATTTAAGGTCAGACAACTATTAATGTGATTTTATATACAAAATGTAGTTGTCCCACAGTACTGCCGTCATTTCCACCACAACGCTGTAATGTCCCTTTAAAAGTTTTTTTTTGAAAGATTGTTTGGGTAGTTTCTATGGAAATGAACAATGACATCACAGCACATGTCTGACATGGAGGAGACTTTTAATTTCTTCACCAACTTGGAGAAGAAAACTCAAGGTAAATATTGCTTGAAATGAAAATATTTTTATTGTATGTCATTTCCAAACATGGCGTAATTGAGTTTGTAAATAAATAGATTTTTTTACATAAATAGATGTATTTTGCATGCATGCAATGCTAGCTACCAATTCATAGCTAATCTGTAATACTAGCTTGGATTTTTTTTACAAAATACTGCAGGATTGTCATTTCCACCACTGTCATTTCCAACACATTCCTTCTTGGGTGGAAATGACAAAGGTGAGGTGGAAATGACATTTATGCTTACAAGGTGCAATTCATAGATTGTGGGGCTACATATGTATATTTTATTTATTGAAATGTACAATGCTAATGTATTTATTCAAATATATATTTGTTGAAATGCCTTTTCATCTATTTTTAAGATGCCGCGGAAGTCAACTGCAGAAAGGTCTCAGTCCTATACCAAAACAGAACCAAACAAACTAATGACTAATGAGATTAATGATTTGTTAAATGGAATTGTCTGTTTCAGAAAGTTTCAAATAAATGTCTTCTGTTTTTCTACATGGACGTCCATTCATTGTCATTTCCACAACACCAGTCATTTCCACCCCCTCATAACTTTTTTTAAAAACATATACAAAATTCTAATCACTCATTAAAAACTTCAGCATAGTTTATGGGATAATGGTCCACTTAATGTAATAACACAAGTAGTTATTTTTCTGAAATGTATCTAACCAATCCAATATTATATTTCAGGTTGTGGTGGATGTAAGCTTTGTGTTTGGGCCTCATGACAATTAATTTACTTAATCCACAAATCTATGGTAATTGCAATATAGGTATAAACTGGTAATACTATGTGTGAAAGTGGTCTTACTGTTAAGAAATGATCTATATCATAATATTTTAAAATTATAATCAAATATTTACATGTGATGGAAATGACATTTGTTCAGTGCGGATCGGAAAATATGTCAAAAAACACCAATTTGTCTTATAATGTAAGTGTGTTCTCTTATGGATCATTAAACTAGACTAGTTATATTTAACTGTTAGACTGTGACCATTTTTATTTAAACAGTTTTTTCCCCCTCAAGTTCACAAGGCCAAAAGTGCCTGTAGTTGAAGAACCACATGAGATATACCCTATACCCCTGGTTTCGCACGTGACCACTGCATATTAATTTTGGCCTTGACAGTGTTGCCATAGACACGCACAACTCCGATTCCGAGGACGTAAACAGCTCTGAGTAGGCTATGTTGTCATCTGGTGGGTGGTAATTACGGTAATTAGGCTACGACAAAATAGGCTATATATTTGTTGTACACTAATGTCTGTTATTCTGTTTATATTTGTCCCGTATCACTGTGTAATGTGAAGCAGAATAGATGCACAGCAGCGCCATCTTTGATTTCAAAGGAAATTAAAGCTAGCCTGTGAGGGATAGACATTTTGAGTTTTTGGATTGTTCTGCTGACGAAAATTTCAGTAAAAAACAAAACAAACAAAAAACAGACAAAATGAGCTGTAGAAGTTTATAAGTGATCTCGAAACTTTATACAGCGGATGCCATTGAAAACACGGCGAGTTTATCCCTCACCGCCTCGCTTTCGTACCTGTCATGGCGCTGCTCTGAATAAGGTCTGTAGCGTTTATTATTCATTAGCTAGGCCTATTCATCACTCCCCAAGTTAACATAGCCTATTTTCTTCAAAACCATTTTGAATTGCCTTATGGCACTTGTGTAGCACCAGATGGCGCCATGAACCCATTTTAAGGCGAAACACATTTATCGACTCTGTGATGGTGTTTGATGCTGAATTCATGATCAGTTAAACCAGGCTTGACCTTTAGCGCCTTGTGTAACCCAACTTATCTAACCACAAAAACTCCCACGGAATACAAGAAAAGCATCTGATTAAGCCAAATACATGCTATATTTATGTCAGGCAGTGTTATTTTAGTATAGCACAATGGTACATTTACACCATTAGCTAGTATTTATTAATATTTTGAATAGGCCTACACACTGACACACACACACACACATATATATATATATACACACACTCTTAAGAAAAATGGTTCTGAACAGTACCAAATTAGGGGTTTTCAGCTTGTAACACTAGCAGAACCATGCTTTGAAAGTGCTATATAGGACCTTAATGGTGTTATAAATACCTTTTCAACAATACTTATCGTCATTAATATTAGTATATAGTATCTTCATATTATTAATATTACTATTATTAATATATATTTTTTATAAATGATTTATTAATCTAGTTTTTTGTAGTCCTCTATGCCTGGTCTCATATCTTGTTGCCTCCACTTGGGTTGATTTTTTTTTTTTTTTAAACAGCATGTTGTGTCAATTAGGTACTTTTATTTTTTTATTGACATGGCAGATTGTAGCAAAAATGACAGTGCTCTAACAACAGTTGTTAGCTGAATACGTTAATAAATAACAATGACACTGAACACGATATAGATGTAATGAAGACCAAGTTCCAGTGAAATATATTCACAATCCTCTATGATGTCTTTACGTCCTTCGTTATGTGTGTATTCTGAGTAATGCAGATGATGAGGTTATGATACGTGACAGCATCTGAAATACACAATTGAGTTTAGAGTTACATTGTGTCACTTCCATTTAATTATGTAAAAACAAATATGTTCATGAAGGCCAAAGGCATTAACATGTAAAAGGCATGGGATAGCTTTAATATTTTTTGTGACTGGGTATGTTTAGGCATTAAGTCATAAT